GTAAAATGTTTATCAGGATATCAGCAACATTTTATTAGTTAACCACTTTTTGATATCTTTCACAGAAAATGAGATATATAGGCTCGAAGTGGACGATCCGGGTGTCGTTCTATTAGAGGTTTTACGGTATTTCAAAAATAGGGGACAGCAATCAACAATCAGTTTTTCAGCAGTTGAGCATCGACGGAATCGACATCTAAAAAGTTTTGGAAAGTTTTTATCGATAGAGCGCACTTACCTAGACTTGAGGTCCAGAATTTCTACTAAACTGATTTTGAATTCTAAAGGGAGATCTGACCAGGCAGGCATACAAAATTAGGAATTCGTCTTTTTTACGGGGGGTCTTATAAACAAAAAACGGTTCTGAAGAATGATAAGGAAGGAGAGAAACTGGTTTTCGAATTAGTCATTTAGCAATAGAATACCAAGTCTCAAAAAATTTATTTCAAAAATTCGTTACAAAAAAATTAAAACACAGTAACTCGGGTAGTGCTCGTCCTCGCACTCACACTGGATACTGTAGTTGTCCTAACTTTTTGTTTTCTAACAATCCCGAAGCAGAATTCTCGATACGGGTTCTGAATCAGAATCATGACTATCGTAGAGGTCAATCCATGGCAGGAGAATGTGATATAAACCAAATTGTTGACACTTTGAGTTGAAATTCCAAGGATTCCAGAGAAAACAGAAATTGCGGATGGGATGAGGATCACTAGCAGGGGTAGGGAGACCTGGAATTTTGCTGTTAGGTAAAATGGTTGAAATTTTTAGAGTTTTGGCTTTTGAGCTCATTTTCAGAGTTTCGAAGGTCGATTATTGAATAGGGCTTTGAAAAGTTTATGAATGGAAAATTAAGTTTTAAAAGCTCACCTGAATATACAAGGCCTTCAAGAAAGCCTTCTGGAGTTTTGCTGTATTCTCTGACATTTTCATCTCCTTTACCACATTCTTCATTTTTATTTTCAACAACAGCACAAACACTAATGCCTCCAAAACTACGGTACTCTCCATTGCAATTTGCCGTACCGAAACCCATGGATTATCGAGAACCAAAACATAAACGGGGTTACTAGGTGTGTCCAGAAGTTTGAATTCCGGAAATTCTCTGAAAATGATTTGGCGAGCATAGGTCTGTTCTGGAACAGCCAAAACTGTTGGAAGATAATATAAAAGAGCCAAAATGTAGTTTGTAGCCATGAAGGGATAACGAGCCCGACGCCACCAAGTGTGCTCCGCAAAAATCAAAAAGTATCGGTTCTCGAAAATCGTGATTATAGAAACAGCGACTACTGAAAGGTTAAAAATGAACGAGGAAATGTTGAAGTGGCACTCACAACAAAATAAAGTGGAAACCATATAACTCTGTAGTGCTAAAGACACCCCAAACTTGTACAAGATCCCATATGGGATTCCAGACCATGTAGATTTCAATAAATATGGTTGGGTTAGCAAGCTGACTGTTAAATCCAGACAAGAACTCCACAAATGCAGATTAAACATACTCCATTTGACAGATTTCATAGATTCTGGAGTCTGGAAAAGGATACAGAAACCGCCGAAGACATGAATGGGGAATGAAAATATTCCGATGATGTAGAGGGTTAGAGAGAAGAATTGGGCACTAGCGAATATTGATTCGCCGGGTAGTTCGACCATTTTTCGAATAAAATGAATTAAAAGAAAAATTTATTGCAACACTTGCAGGTGGAATAGTAACACCTATTAATTTTATATTTATTGAACTGATTGAATGGTATATGCCACGAACACAATGCAATGTAAACCAACTGAAGAGGCTAGAATGAACCAAAAATGAGAGTTGCTTGCAAACGTTTCAGATGTAATGGATTGAGAATTTTCTTAGAACGTCAAAGCACAATAATCACCTGCTAAGGGATCAGTCACCTTTGAAAGTTTAGATAATTTAGAAAACGCTACGAAAAATAGTAAACACCTGAACAAAATTTTGGACTTTGAAACACAAAAGAATTTTTATAACCTTTGATCTCAACATCAAAATCTCAGGATTGTCTGAATGTCATAAATCAAAATGATTAAAAATTTTCTACATTGGAGACTATCTGAACTATAAAATATCGGCTTCTCAAACAGTTTTATTTCAAAATATTCAAAATAAAGAAACTTGAATAGTTGTCCTCGTTTTTTTCTTTCTAGCAATACCAGAACAAAATTCTCGATACGGCTTCTGAATCAGAATCATGACTATTGTAGAGATCAATCCATGGCAAGAGAATGTGATATAAACCAAATTATTGACACTTTGAGTTGAAATTCCAAGAATTCCAGAAAAATTGATTGCGGATGGGGTGAAAAGATTGCGGATGGGGTGAAAAGATTGCGGATGGGGTGAAGATCACTAGTAGAGGTAGAGAGATCTGAAATTTTGCATCGTTTCAGATTTAAAAATAATGAAAATCGACACTGTTGACTTTGTTTAATCTATATCTTTTGGATTTCGAAGCCTTTCAAACTGAAAAAAAACTACGAAAGTTTCAAATTCCAGCAAACAAAATTTTCGTTTGAAATTCTATCTGTGAACTACTAAAAAAAAATCCCAATTGAAAAAAAAAATTCGATTAGTTGTTAAAAAACGGGAAATTTACACTAATCCTATAATAGAACCACATCTGCAATAGACATCTCCAATATTTATACAAATATGCAACCTATTTTGCAGTTTGAATTTTTGATCAAAAATACGTTCAAAAATATAACCATACCTCTAGAGTAGCATTGTAAACTAAAAGCGAAAAAATACAGAATTGAACAGGCGAAAAATTGCAACCGGACAAAAATTTTCATAATTTTCATTTTGATGTACCTCATGAGAATTTTGATTTGCCCTCGAAAAATTTTGAGGCGCCCTATGACAGCTGCTTGAAACTACCTCTTCAGACTTTGAGAAAAATAACCGCGAAACTTTGCATTTTGTTATTCCCTGAAAATCCTATTAGCAAATAGTACTAGCAAATATAATATTAGAGTATATACCCGAAATTCCTCGACAACTTTTTTTTCTGATTATACTAGATTTGGGAATTTTGTACCCCTAAATTGTATTTTTTTTTGTACTCCCGAATCGAACTTTTTGTACCCCCGAATTGTTGCAACTTTGTACCCCTGAATGTTGTACCCCAGAATTATGGTACCTAGGAATTTTGTACCCCCTAATTGTCGATTTTGTACCCCTAAATTGTTTGTACCCTCCGAATTATTTGCCAAGTGAGTTTAACTTTTTTGTATTCCGCACAGACTTTTTTTTCAGTATATTCTTGAATTCCATCACAACAATTCTCCAAAACTACCAACTTGATGGCATCGACATCAATTGGATGTATCCATACCGTGAAGATTTTCAGAATCTAGTCACACTGTTCCAGGAGCTCCGTGAGCATTTTGATCGTCTTTCTGATGAAAATGGAAGACCTTTTTCAATTTCAATGGTGGCCCCGGCGCTTGGCAGAACCCTTGAAACCAATCTTGGAGAAAATCTAAGGAACATTCTGGAATATGTGGATTTTATGAATATTCGATCGTTTGAATACTGGAAATTCTCTTCAATAGCATCTGCTCCATTATACTCGAAAACAGGACCAAATGTGAATGGCACGATTTCCTACTACATTATAAAAAGTGGGGGCGTAGAAAAATTGATTCCAGGGATCGAATTTTCTGGAACCTTTTTGAACGATGTGGATTCAAAGGAAAGCCAAGAACAAAGAGTAAAAGTGTTCTGGAAAAATTTGGAAAAAGAAATATGGAAGGGTTCTATATCTTCGTGGGACCTGGAATCTCAGACGCCATATATTCGGGAGGAACAGAAGTATTTGAGTGTTGAAAATGTGAAAAGTTTAAGCAAGAAAATGGAATATTCCAATGGGCAGAATCTTGGAGGATTGGCGATTTGGTCCCTGGAGATGGATGATGATAAGAACACTCTTCTGGGAGCTGTCTCGTCTTGTGGATATAATCAGTGAACTTTTTTAACTTGGATATTTGAAAGGGATCTTTGTAGGATGATCTCTTAATAAACTTAATTTTTTTAACTCTCCATTTTTAAAAATAAGCTTCGTGGCTATTTATACAATTGTTCAAACAAATTACACAAAATTAAAAAATAAATTTATTACAGTTCAAAAATAAAATTAATCACTCCTCGTGTACATCAGCAGGATTCCATATTGCTTAGAGTTTTATCATGATTTTCTGAAAAATGAGTATCAATTGAAAGAACATGGAATTCGAAAGTTGGATTTTCTAATGTTTTTTTGAAATTTCGGAATGGAACCTTGATTTCAAATTTTGAAAAAAAATACCTCAAAAAACTTACTGAAAGATTCTGGTTTTTGTAAAAACACACACGTCTCCAGTAGAAGAGGGTAAAATTAGAGTGGTGGAAACATTGAGAACTGAGACATGTGAACGATCCAAGTCTACGTTTTTTTTTTGAGAGCAAAAGGTAAGGGGTCAGTAGGGTACCGTGAAAAAAGCATGGGGAGGGGCGGCAAAAAATGGGTGAATTTCCCTATTTTTTGAAATTTCAATGTTCTATTAGGAACCATTTTTCAAGCGTTTCTATTTATTTTTTTTTGTAATTTTTCTATTATTTTTTGTGACATTTTTCTTCCTTTTTACAAACTTTTCGAAGATCTTTTCACTACCTATCGACGTAACATCTGTAATAGAAGGACCCCTTAACTGTAAACTTTAAGCCAATTTTTCTCAGTTCCTGTAAAAGACATGAAAAAACTGTCAACTGATAAATTGTTTATCACAATATCACAAACATTTTATCAGTTGACACATTTTTGATATCTCGCACAGAAGTTAAGGTAATTCAGCTTAAACTTGATCGTGTGAAGCGCTTCTATTACAGGTTTTACGGTATTTTTTATGCAAAAAATATGTTGAAATTTTGAGTTTTAAAAATGGGAAAGGTTACGTAAACTATCAAATCAAGACAAAATAAATTGAAACTTTCAACTTGAACCTCGTTGTCCTCATTTTGTTAACCGTTTTTTAATTACCGTGAACCTTTAATAGAATGTCCCCGAACTGCCAACTTTAGGCCAATTTATCTTAATTCCTGTAAAAGATATGAAAAAGTTGTAAACTGATAAATTGTTTATAATAATATGACAAGCATTTTATTAGTTGATTCCTTTGTGATAGCTTGCACAGAAGTTGAGATAATTGATCTTAAACTATACAGCATTGGAAACCTGCTACTACACGTTAACGGTATTTTTTTTAATTCCATTAAAATACGTTTAAAATTTCAGAAAAATTTGTGCAATTTATGAAATCAAGACGGAAAAAAACCCAAATCAACAGCTTCAAGAAAAATGGATTGTAAAAGGGAAAAAAATCGCTAAAAAATCGAAAAACTTGGTAACACTCTTTAAGCCCCATTGCACCAGAATACGTACTTGAAATTACGAAACCACACTTTAGAATATTACGCATTTTAGTAATCATTTGACCCTGGTCACAATATCGGCCACAAAAGAAATCCCACAAAAAAGTTAAATTATTATGACACAATAAAAGTCAAAATAAAAGGCATCTTTATTCATCACCAATCAAAACGGCAACCGGGTTCACTCTACTATCTCTATTGATCTCTCGCTTCAGCATAAACACAATAAACTCTTCCTCCGTGAACAACGTGTACATCTTATCCACATCATTTTTGTAGACACTCAAATCCATCGCTCCATCGTGAATCAAGAAAAGTGGTCCTAAATGAGCATGAAGATAGGGATGCGATCCTTTATTGAAGTGCTCTTTGAGTGGAAACGTGTTCATCATGACCCCTCCATGAGTGGTCACAATTGAAGAGAGGGTTAGCACTGGAAACTTGGAATTTTACTGTTTTTCGTTTTTTTACGTACAATTTTTATAATCCGTTGCCACCACGGCCACATAAGCTCCTAGCAAATAGGGCATCTCACTTTTGGCCATGGCCTCGCTCCACGTCAGCACCGTTTTATAGACTTGTCCATTGAACTTGACATTCTCAACCAAATAGTCAACATCCTTTCCAATCAATTTAGGATTCTCCAAACAGTCAGTCATCCATTGTTCTTTCACAATAATAACACCGTGGAAGATCCAGAGCAAAAGATCCAGACGATCAGTTTCTAGCATTCCATTGGCATCTACACGAACGACGCAGTGCGTTGTTGTTGGCATCGCTTCATCGGATGTAATTGATCTGAACCGATCCATAAACCGATTACACAGCTTTACATCAGTCGCATCATCCATCCAAATATGAAACGAGGTGTCCGGAAACGCGTGGGGTACACTGCTTCGGAATCCTTTCTTTTCATACTTATTATAAATTTTTCGAATCTTCTCGTAATTCTCCACTCTCTCCGGATACTTTTTCTCAAACTCGGGAAGAATATATCGCATTGGTGTCAGATTTTTATAGTTCAATAGAGAACGATCGGCTCCGTATCGGATCAAAAGTTCAACGTGATCGGGAAGAGCAAATTTGGTGGCAACGTGAAGGGCAGTGTTACCGTATTCTGGAAAAAGTTAAGACTGACAAAAAATAAGGGGATCTGAAACTTACTGTTATAAGCGTCAATGTATGCTCCATTCTTCAACGCCTTCAACAAGCTAGTTTTGTTACCTTCACGAACAGCGTCTAAAACTGAATTCTTGCCATCAATGGTGTCCATAAAACTCTGTAAAATTCTTAATTTGTTCTTGTTTTTTTCAAGGACCAATCAAACATTTTCTTTGAGAAATGTGTAAAAAAATGGACAAGAATCTGAGTTCCCGCGCATTGAGAAAGCTAGGCCACGGCGGACCGCCTATTTTACGTTTTCAAATTTTTTTATTGACAGGAGTTTTCTGAAAAAAATAATACAATTTCAAATTTTTTTTCACAGTGTAATGACACGTCTAAGCCCGCCCACTTTGAAAAATCCAGACTACCATACGCCTTTGAAGTGGAATTTCAAAATGGGCGGAGCCTAGTCGTGTTTGTGTCGTGAAGACCAAAACGTGATAAATTGATGTGTAAAGGTTTGATGTAGTTTAAAGAAAAAGTGACCGGGTTTCGGTACTTTTAAGATATTCAGGGATCACAGTAGATCCTAAATTTCATGGTGGGCGGAATTTCAGAATTTCAAAGCTTTCCACAAAGTTTTCCGTCACGTACCACTTTCTGTCATTTTCAAAAAAACCGTGGCCTAGGTTTCTCATTGCGCGGGAACTCAAATTCTGGTCCCTCGTAGCCACCACCGTTCATGTTTTCAACAGCGATTTTCCGGATATAAGAAGTAGCAATTTTCAAAATTTTTAATTCTCGAATGAATAAACAAAAATGATCCAAATTTCTGTAATTGGTCACAGAAAATACTAAACTACTGATAAATGTCATAATCGATGTGTTTTTGTCCAGAAATACTTTATTTTAACGCAATCATGAAAAATATGGTTTTAATTACATTATTTCTATTGATTTTCAATTTTGCGAAAAGTTACGTGATGCACAGAAATTGAAGGCTTCGAATTCTGGGATTTTGGAAAATTTACGTTATGCACAGAAATTTAACGTTGCAATTTCTGGGATTTTTCACAGAACTCGAACGGTTCGAGTTCTGGGATTTTGGAAATTCGCGTGATTCACAGAACTCGAAGCTTTCAATTTCTGGGATTCTGGAAAAGCATGGGGGGTAGGGATTCAAGAAGGGTCGTGATAAAGCAAAATGAATATTACGAAACTATCGTTGGACTTGTTGTTTTCCATAAAACGGATCCTTCGAGCTTAAGGATAATTGTGTTCCATGGGAGCTCTAAGTTGGCTGAAAAACTAGTTGAAAATTCTGAATGTATTGGAAGGGTTGAAGTAAAAAAACATTTTCATTCGAAACTTGCTAATGTCACATACATTACTTTAGGATGAAATTGGTTGAGATGGTGGAAAAATGTTGTTCAAAAGCTATAAAAGATTCCACTTGGTGTTTTGAAAAACTGGCAACACTGATTTTTAATGATTTACCGTCGAAGAAAACAGAAAAACTGAACGTCGAAGAAAACTCAGTTTTCTTCGACGGAAAATCAATTAAAATCCATGTTGCCAATTTTTCAAAACTTTTTCAAATTTTCAAACATCACGTGGAATCTTTTATAGCTTATGAACAAAAATTTTCCACTATCTCGATCAATTTCATTTAAAAGTACTGTATGTGACAAAGGTAAGTTTTAAGCTTTGTATTTATATTTTTACTTCAACCCTTCCAATGCGACTCAGAATTTTCAACTAGTTTTCAGCCAACAGAGAGCTCACATCGAAAAATTATCTCCAATCTCGAAGGATCCGTTTTATGGAAAACAACAAGTCCAACGATAGTTTCCTAATATTCATTTTGCTTTATCACGACCCTTCTTGAATCCCTACCCCCCCCCCATGCTTTTCCAGAATCCCAGAAATTGAAAGCTTCGTGTTTTGTGAATCAATTTGTGAATTTCCAAAATCCCAGAACTCGAACCGTTCGAGTTCTGTGAAAAATCCCAGAAATTGCAACGTTCAATTTCTGTGAATCACGTAAAATTTCCAAATTCCCAGAATTCGAAGCCTTCAATTTCTGTGCATCAAGTGTTCTATTTTATCACCGAATAAATATATATTTTTGTATCGAACAAATTCTATTGCAAGTACAGGAAATACTACTCGAAAAGGCTTTATCGTTTTTTATGTAAATTTGAACATTTTTTTCGCTCCGCAAAGAAAATGCGAAATTACTGAAACTTCACAGAAATTTTGTAAATCGAAGTGATTTGGGATGAAAACTGAAAATTTTGAAAATCGCTCCTTCTTATATCATCAATTTTCGAACTTTTCGAGTTTTTTAGTACAATTAAAATTTTGGCGCTATTGTAGTTGAGGAGTGACTTTACGTGGTAACTAAAAAGCCAGTAAAAAAACTACGTACAAATCAAAAATTTTAATGGCACCCTTCCACTCCCATAGCCCCAAAACTTTTTCCCAATAACCTTACCGAGTATCTCCACCTCTTCTCAAAATCGTCGGGACTTCCAAAATAGTACAAATACACATTCTTGTACCAGGCTCGTCCGTTTTCCGTCAGCCCATAGATTCCAAAGAAAGCAATTATCAAAAAGAGAACAAAAGCAATACAAAGAATCAAAATGAGTTTCCACGAGACGGCCGGCTCAATCTCCACAGTTACAGTTTTCGGTTTCACGTGTCCAAATATTTCATCAAAGTATTGCTTGAGTGTTGTCACCGTCACTCGGACCGTTTTCAGACGGAGATTGTGTTTGGCAAAATCCAGATCTAGGTCACGAGCCGCCTCGAAGAACTTCACAGCCTTCTTTTCTTCGTTTCCCATGTGTTCGCTGAGGTATTCTGAAACAAGAATTTAAATTTTTTTTCTGAATCATTTCGCAAAAATCACCATAAACATCATTCAACTTTTCTCTGGATCCTGGAATCCCTTGAAACTGCGTAGCTCTTTCGAAAATTTCCGTCATATTCACCAAACTCGAATTACGAATCCGTCTAGCCACCTCATCCAACTTGCTAACTCCTTCAATCAACCCTTGTAATTTCTGGTATGGTCTCCTCCATTCCTCCAAACCCTTATCAGCAATCTCGTTAATCACATCTTGAGAGAATTCTGGATCTCTTCCAAACTGTTCTTCTTTGTTTTTTACTTCGTACAAGTCTTCCAGAATGTGTATACTTCGTCCAAGATTCTCAGTAAGGTGGTTGGGATTCTGGAGTGTCAAAATCAACGAATCCAGTTTGCCAGCCTTCTGATTTGACTTTCGAATCGTTAACACCAATTTCTGAATATTTTTCAGTTCCAGTTGAACCTTTGAAAGTTTCGAAAGATATTGACTAATGTTATTGAACACTTCCGCATTAGGAAATCTGTCAAAGGCCTGATATACTCTTAATCCATTAATCGTATCATTCAGAGGCACTTGAAGCTTTCTGAAAAAAATATATTCTGAATCTCTACAAATAGAAACGTACTCAACGCATTGCGACATCTCTGAAATTTTCGATTGGTCCAATATATCCTGGAACGAAAATGAAGCCGGTTTTTGGGGAACTTGTTCCGCAAGCTTGTCGAGCACTTGAAGATCCTCTGCCAACGTGGAAACTTTGTTGAGCAAGTAGAAAATGTCCTCAGATTCCGGTCCATATGAATCGATTTTAATTTCAATGGTTTGCATGATCAACGGCACATTTGGATCGGGTTTAAGATTGGTAGTTTGTTTGTCAACCATTGCGAACAACTTTTCAACTAGTCCAGTCGCATTCCCATGGGTGGATTTGAGCGATTTTGACCTTGATTTAATCTTTGAAATCGATTTAGCAACATCTTGAAACTTTAAAGCCACCTTCTCCGCCGGAAGCTGTTCCGTGTCAAATGTGTTCAAAAAATTGCTGATATTATCAATTTTTGGGAGTCCACACTTATTGAAATCATTTCCAAGATTATCGATACTCCGAAAAACTTTAACAGAATCCAAATCGAATTTTTTGATGATCAACAAAGTTTCTGCTGCAGTCAAAACTTCCGTTGTCAAAATGTCTTTTGAAGTTTCTGTCCAATTGTCCCACGCTTCTTTCAAAGAGAACATGATCTCAGAAATCTTACGGTAGGGTTGAAGAGCCTTGGCGAGTTTCGCAGTGCTGGCTTCTCTGGCAACTTTGCTTTTGAACCAGGGACTTTCCAAGTCGTCAAAAACTTTCAACAAATCTTTCGTTTCTTTGAATCCAGCAGTAATAGAAAACTCCATATCACTGTAGTCAAAATTGTAGAAGTCAGTTTCGAAAATGGAATCATTCAGTTGAGATATGACATGAAATGTTTCCTTGGATGGTTGACTATGCCAAATGAAGCTCGTCAAATTTAATCCTTTGTACAAATCCTTTAGAAGTGAACCTAAGTGTCGTCCCACGTTCGAAACAACGGCTAGTTCCAAAACTATCTTTCTCGACCTCATCACCATTTTGTGGTCCTCATAGGCTTTCTTTATTCCTATGTTTTTGATTTCTTCTTCCAGTTTTGGAATTTGTTCCAAGCACTCGGCGACCAACTGTCCTTGTGAGTTGAAACTTTTGAGAGTCGCAAGCGCTTCATTTCTGTCTCGTTCCACGTAGTTTGTAGTATCCTCCCCAAAGTGAACCATGAACTTGTTGAGGACTTCATAGCTGATGTTGAAGCATGACGTCTTAAAAAGTCCTCGTGCAGCTCGTGCCGCGATGAATAGATTATCCTTCTGAATATTTCTTGCTTCATTTAGTTGATTCATCAGTCGAGGAAGGTTGACATAGAAACTTAATGCGTGGTTCAATTCCGCAGGAAGTTTTTTGAAGAAATCTGATATGCTTACACCAAACGGGACACCAACAGAAAACATTGAAGGGTTTTTGGCTAGAGCATAAGCCTTTTGCATCCGATGCAGTTCAGCTGTGGCATTGGCGATGGAAAATTTGACCATTTTTTGGTAAGGGACCGGATCGACTTGAAAAAGTTCGGATAGCACATCTTCCACACTTATTCGTCTGGAGATGGCGGCGACGTGGAGGGAGATGGCATTTGTGACGCGAGCAAGGATTCGGAACTCTTCAATGATCTCCTTGAAATCGGATGGTTCTGAAAAACTTTTTGCATTTTTCAATTTCGAAATTTTGGACTTTTTTAAAAAGAATTTTCAAATTCCCCAATTTTTTTGAATTCCCGGAATTTTCGAATTTGCGGAACTTTTGAATTTCCGGAATTTTCGAATTTCCGGAATTTTTGAACTTTCGAATTTCCGGAATGTTCGAATTTCCGGAAATTTTCAAATTTCCGTAAGTTTTTGAATTTCTGGATATTTTGAATTTTTGAATTTCCGGATATTTAAAATTTCCGGAATTTTCAAAATTAAAAAAATTTCCGGAATTTTTGAATTTCAGAACTTCAGAACTTCAGAATTTCCGAATTTCAAAATTTTTGAATTTTCCTCACCTTGATTCCCACCATTTGGAGCAGTTCCAACAATTGAAAAACTCGCAAAAACCAACGAGAAGACGGTGATAAATTGTACTGTATGCATGTTTGCATACAGTTTCTTGCTCTTTTCTTTCTGAAAATTCAACATTTTCGGATCGAATTCTAGAGCCCAGAAAACTCACCGAAAGATTCTTGTTTTTGAAAAACCAGAACTGGAAAGTGTCTTATGTAGTTTTTGAGAACTGATTGTTGATTTTCGGGGGAAGACTGATCTCATGGAGATCAGATGGAGAGATAAGGAAGGTCAGTTTGAGGTTGCTTTTTTCGAAGAATCTATGAAAACGTTCACGCAAAAATTCCAAAAAAATTTTCAAAAAAAAAACAGCGTGAACACACCAATAGATTCCTGCCTTTCAACTTTGAGCCAATTTATCTTGATTTCTGTGAAAGATATCAAAAAGTGACTAACTGACAAAATACTTTTGATATTATAATAAGAATTTTATACGTTAACTACTTTTTGATGCCTTTCCCAGGAAATGAGGTATATGAGCTCAAAATTGGCGGTATGAGAGGAATACTGTTTACGGTACAGAAAATGTCAAAAAATTATCAAATCAACTTGATGTTGGCATTCTTGTTGATGGCCAGTTTGTTCCTCAGCATCCAATTTGCCCAATGATATCAGTGTCCAAAAAAAAGCTTCCTCATCTCAATTTTCAATATATAAATAGACCTCTTCTCTCTTTTTCCACATGCCCGTATATCAAAGTGTACCTATTGACAAAACGAATCCTTCCAATGCCAGAAAAAGAAAAGAGAGATTAGCAATAATTGTTGTAATTTTTCTCATCTTCTTCTTCTGTTTCTCATCACTGGCTTGGTATTTTTACAAGAAAACGAATTGTGGTGAGTGATCGATCTGCACTTTATAAACTGTATTTCCTCTGCTAGGCACTTCTTCTTACATTGTTTAAAGGAGGGAGAGAAGAGGGTTTTTCGGAGTTACGGTATGCATTTTCACCTGATGGTGCACAGTGATTAGTGTGATTAGCCCATATATCTCATTTCCTATGGTATCAAAAAGTGGTCAACTTATAAACTATTTATCATAATATCAAAAACATTTTGTCCGTCTGAACTTTCCTGATATCTTTCACGGAAATTGAGATGATTGAGCTCAAAGCGCAAAAATAGGGTGGCTTTCTATGAGAGTGTTTACTCTAGGTTCCCCAAGTTTAACTATTTAAGATTTTTTCCAGATATCCTCCCCCACGATCACACGGAATCAATATAAGACGGTAGAAATTTGAAGAATTTTTTTCCTCATTTCTGAAAACCTGAATTTCTCAAATTTTATGTAGAAAAAGAACAGAGTTAATAGAAAGAACAAAAGTTTTTCGAAAAGTTTGTCTGTTCCACAGATTTCGTCCAGTTTCGTTCCAAAAAAAATTTAGTGTTGTCTTGCCTTTTTACAATTCAGAAATTTTCTGTATGAATATTCCAGAAATTAGTCAAAGTTATAGAAAATGTTTATTTGATGGATCTGAAAATGATCTTGAACAAAAAATAGGTGGACAAATTAAAATTGGACAGTGTGGACAGTTGGGACAGTAGTTTGCTCAAATCCGGGCGACAACCAATCTTCCTGCATTTTGAACTTCTTGATGCTCTGTGCCTTCTTTTCTTCTACAGGCACAGGTCCTGGGCGATGATGCGCATAAAGGACCCGATCCATATGCGATCCTCTAGAAGTCCGTTTGACACATATCGCGAACAACGAGCTGCGATGAGTCTCATATGTGTGCGATGCGGAAGAGGCTGAATCGAGTGTTCCGAATGCGCACGTATCCTAGATGGATTCTAGGTGGGTGGGCGATGTGTGCGATATGGGTCTGATACGGTAGGCCGACTACAACACTCCGAAATCCCTGATACGCGCATTGTTTACCGTAAATCCACACCGGCAACTTTGTCAATTTTTCGTCAATTCGAGCCTACATTTCTGGTTTTTCGATTATTCTTTTTTTTTTTTTGTGAAAAAGAGTTATGGCAGACTAAAAAATCGCTGAATTCTTGCAGAAACATGTCTTTCACTCGTCAATTGCTATGTTTTTCGCCAAAATAGGTGATATTGAGATTTTTTGATTTCACTTTGTAATTATTGTAAAAATCGTATTTTCAGGTGGAATAAAAGGTAAGTTGGTAAGTATACAATAATTACAAAGTTTAAATTATAAAAATTTTCAATTTTTCATGCAATTTCAAAAAAAGTGAAAGTGAGACATATTTTTTGAACAAATGAAAAAAAAACAATTTTTAGCGTTTTTTTCCCATTTTGTTCTGTTTTTGATTGCATATCAAACTTAAATGGAAACTGCCATAAGTCTTTTTCAAAACCAAAACATTGAGTTTCAAAAAATCAGTAATATGTCGTTCAAAATATAAAAAAATATGGAAATAAAGGTAAAGTACGAAATCGGAAGACCTGAACAAGATCACATCACAATAGAACTTAACTGATACTTCTAGGAACCCCCAACCAACGTTTTAGTTCATTTCATCGAGTGCCAGCAAGCCAGGCGAGGAGATGCTTTGCGGCGGTGGTGTGCCCCATATGTCCCGTATATGCCCCATACCGGCGTCCTTTCCCTGTACCCAATTCATCGGCGCGTTCTCCGTCGCCCATCCATTATGCGTATGCGCGCCCAGGAACTGTGGGTACAGAATCGGTTTGTCTCCCGATTTTGTACTTTTTTAAAGGAAAAGGTGGGCGCGCTCGTATTTCTACATGAGGATGCAAATGGCTTTTTGGGCATTTTTGGCCTTTTTCGCCCCTTTCAAAAATCAGGTGTTTCGAGCGAGGATCGAACTCGGGTCTATCGCTTCACACACCGGCGTGTAAACCAGTGCGCTTTTCGATCGACAAAAATCTTTGTTGTTTTTGATATATAAATAACTTCCTTTTTTTGACGTGAAAATGTGAATAATTTCAAAATTCCTAATTTATGAAATCCTGAGATTCCAAGATCTCAAAATTCAGGAATTCTGGAATTCCGGGAAAAAAATCTAAAATTTAAAAAAACTGAGATTCCGAAATTTAGAAATTAGAAAATTCAGAAATTGAGAAATTGTCGAGTTTTAAAATCACAGTTCCAAAAATTCTGGAATTTTCAATCAGCGTATTATCTCCAATACAAGCCCATGTGCTCGGAGTGTGGGCTTCTATTTTTCGATGAACCTCGCGGGGTGGGCTTCAAATGGAGGTGGGCTTCTATTAGAGGAAATACGGTATACTAGAATCAAGATTTTCGAGTTTCTGGTTCTAAAAAGTGTATTTCCTTTGATTTTAAGAATATTCTAAATTTCTAATATTTCAGAAATGTTTGGAATTCCGAGGATGATTTCTGAATTGGGATACTTTTTGAATTTGGCGCAAAAATTCAGGTGTCCCAGTGTAAGGTTAACAATGCGTTTTTGCCTAAACCTATGATTTTAAACAAAAAATTGAAACAAATTTGCACCGAAAAATGTGAAAATCTTACTGATTTTCGCTAATTCAGTACTTTTTGACTGGAATTTTTCACATTTTTTGAAAAAATTATAGGCCTTCCCTTTTATTGGCTATCCGAAAAATGGTGCTAAATTCAAAAAATTTGTATGACCAGAATTCGAATTCAAAATTTACCACAAAAATATCGGTAGGAATAGGAAAAATTATTTTTTCTTCATAGCTATTCAGATTTTTTTGGTAATTTTTCAATATTTTGAAAATTATTCTATTCTTCCTAAATTTTGTGTTCTCTTGAAAAATCTGTAGTTTTTAATTGTATAGCATGTCTATATTGAAATATGTCATCTGTAATTTCAATCTACAAAAAAACTATTTCAAACGTTAATCACGATTTCCTTTTGAGTTGTGGAATTGCCGCTTCAGAGTTGAACATGGAATGAATTTCACAAATAACGATTCCGAAAAAGTATTTTCAGCATATAAGGCAAGTCAAGTATGGTGTTAAAAAATTTTGCAGAGACAATTTCATCACAATGAATATCAGCAAACACGCACGACTATTAGGAAAACAATTGAGTGGACAGCCTCTCTTGTTCGCGATGCTAACATGTGCCGAAATGTCCTCAACAGAAACTCTAAAGAAACGCCTCTGTTCAAAAATCAACATTTCCTTAGAGCAGTGCTATATAATCATCCGAATTTCCAGTCATTTTCCGAAAAACTATTTCCATTCATGGCATTACCAAAAGATCATCATTGAAACGTTTCTTTTCTTTTGAATATAATAACTTTTTTGTTTTTTTAAATGAATTAAATTGGATTTAGATATTACAGACAAACCATTATAGCATCAAAAAACTCTGAATTCGGAATTTAAATGCAATTTTTAACCGAAAATTAATTCATTGAAAAATCGAGGAAAAAGTGTGCGGCGACATTGCAATTTAGGCTCCGCCCCTCACCCCGCCCACTTTCCCCGGTTTTTCTTCCCCGATTTTTTTCCCCGGAATTTGCGGGTAGTGTGCTGTGTCGATTGTTGACAATCGACAAAAATCGACGAAAATCGTCAAAATCGGTGTCGATTTCGTCGACTCCATCAAAAATCGACATTCAAAAAGTCGACAGAAAATCGACTTTTCAAAAGTCGATGAAAGTGAAAATCGACAAAAGTCGATTTTTGTCGATTTTGAATCGACTCAAAATCGACAAGAATCGACAGAAAATCGACTTTTGTCGACTTTTGTCGACTTTATTGTCCGAGAGAACTACACGACCGGTGACCTAGAAACTGCCTGTGACCGGGGTATTTTTCATGAAAAACAGGCATTTTTCATCGAATTTTCCACTGAAAAACCGTATTTTTCTTGTTTTTTTTTTGAGTGTTTTGTTTTTTTTCTGTTTCATTTACGACATTCTTGCTTTTTGCAGATGTATTCGTCACAAAATCTATCTAAAGCGTGGCGATACTTCGAAAAACAAAATAACGGACAAACTGTGACCTGTAAACTGTGCGGAAGGAGCATAAAGTTCTTTGACCACAACGATGCATCAGCACTTAAACAGTCACCACGAGAAAGAAGTTGAAGAAATGGAAAGATCGGTAAGCAGAAAATTATATCAAAATCTGAGTTTTCTTCAGATCTACGAAGAAAAATACGTCGACGACTGAAGAGTACGAATATGACGACGAGAATGATGACTCAGAAGGCGAAGAATATTACGAATCCAGAGAGCATAACGATGATACTTTTGGAAACGATTTGGCCCAAATAATGAAACATTAATTCCTTATGCTGAACTTTGTTCTTCTTCTTCCCTTTTTTTAATTTTGTCGCTTTGAATTTTCTTCTATTTTCCTTGCCATCATATTTTGTACCCCAGTTGAAACTAAGTTTTACACTATTTGTTTTTTATCCATAAAAATAAAGTTGTTACTCTAAAATAAAGTTGTTACAATGATTTCTTCAAAAAATTAGAAAAAAACATTTCTCGAGGTGAAATTTTACTTTGAAGTCCGGAAAAGTCGATTTTTCGTCGACTTTCGTCGATTTTTTGTCGACTTTTGTCGATTTTTCTGTCGATTTTAAGTCGACGCAAAATCGACAAGAATCGATTTTCGTCGACTTTCGTCGACTTAAAGTCGACAAAAATCGACAACGAAAAGTTCCATTTTCATCGACGAATAGCCTTTTCGAATCTGTGAATGTCGACTGTGTCGATTTTCAGAGTCGACAAGAATCATCGATTTTCGAGTCGACTCGGCACTCTATTTGCGGGGTCTCGCTGAGTAGCGGGGTCGCTATGCATACGCGCCCCATGGCTATGCGACAGAGAGCGTAGGCAGCAGAGAAGCGCTTGCGTCTCCTCGCTGTGCACACTGTCTCTATTCGCATTTTATGCATTTTCATTCGAATTCGTCGTTTTGAATAATTAGCATTGATACACATTTTAGACATGGTGAATTCAGCGGAGTCTAGAAAGAAGAATGTACCAGAACAAAGGTTAACAATTAAGCATTTTTTAATGCAAAATTCTCACATTTAAGGCTCCTCAACACCGCTTCGAGCGTTATTGTTCTTCCACAGGCTGCAGAGCGAGACGATGTTATTCCAGCAGTATTCAGAT